ATTTAGAATATTTGACTTGGCATGTAGTACTAGTGCAATATTTTCAATAAGAAACGGTTGGATCCCTTGCGCGCCAAGCAAAAACAGTTTCACTGTTCCAATGTGTGTATTTGAATCCTTAGACCCTTGTGCAAATGTAAATATGTATCCTGAGTCGGGTCGCATTGTGACGAACTTCGTCGCTTCGCTTGTTAAGCCGAAACCGCATCCTGAATCCAGCACACACGAAGCATTGGTTAGAAACGTCTCTCAGCTAGCAGGGAAGGATACATCTTCCGTACCGTGTCCTCCAGGCGCATCTTCTGGAGACTTATCTCCTCAGCAACCTGGTGTTCATTAGGCGACACTGACTCTTCTTCTCCATGAGCTTCGTCGACGCGTCCACCGTTGACGCGGACACTGATCACTGAGTCCATCCGTTCGTCCGACTCTTGTGCGTCGAGCATGACTTGATCCCCTCCATGCGTTACCGGAAGTTCGATTCCACTGAGAGGAGAGACAGAAGGGGCAAGGCTCACTGGTGGCATACAAATAGCAAGTCAGCCCCAGCATAGTAAAATTAAGTTAGGGATGCAAACGCAGGGGTGAAAATCACCATAGCAGAACCAAGGCAAGGTTGTAAGCGCACTTAAGCATAATAGAAATCGCCGTCCATGGCTAAAGGCACGCGGCGCTACACTATGTACGGAAAGTGAAGGTGTACTGCTAGAGGGCTACAGGGATCACAATGTCTAGGGCTAAAACAGTGTCTGGCGTCATGTCCACAATCTCTGGGAGCCGCGGTACAGCAGGGTGGAGAAATCGTGGACGCGACGCCGCACGCAGCACTAATTAATGTCACGGATATGACTTCGTACAGACCTATTTGCCAAATCAGAGATGATCATCCTGGTGCAAGGCCGCTGACACGACGCCAGGCAAATCTGAGGCCAAGGTGGATAGCCCATGACACCGGCCATAGCTCCGAGCATGTAGATGTAATCCCGTGTAGCTTCGAGCAAGACGGTAAAGCTCGTGGGTACAGCTGTGGTTGCCAGTGAGGAAATTCACTTCAAACTACATCTGCTGGAATATGCAGGGCCGTCGGAGTCTTCGTGGAGACGCTATTCCATGGGCAGACTCCCACAGTAACCAATATCGACCTTCTTGATGAGTGTGAATGGAGTTACCATCAATGTCACTATACTTATACAACACTAAGTCGGCGATATCAGCTCCACTTCCGTCAATATCAAGCTACTTCTAGTTGCCACTACGTTGGGGAGTTATGCCGTGCACTTAGTTTAAGCAAACCATGACGTCGAACTATATATAGCCAATCAAACAACTCCAGTTGAATATTAACGCATCCGAGCTACGTTGCAAACCAAATTGCACAATCGGCCAATATTTATACAGTATTCTGCATCAATCCCGGACGCATCACTAGCTTATATACATTTATATATTGCATTTATGGGACTCAGTGGTGACAGGGTGGAGATGGGCAAACGTACTGATGGGAACAAATCCATTTTTCCTTCTATCAAAATCGCCCTTTGCCAGAGAAAGCTCTGAAATCTAAATTTTGTTTTGCGATTTATGGTGAAAGCTTTTGCTGTGTACCTGTATATTTGCTGCACACGTAGAACATATAGACTAGTTTTTATTCGAAGGCGATGCAGGCTGCAAAGATTGTTGCATTTAGCACAGCATAATCAGAACGAAAGCTGATTGCAGCAGCTAAAAAAA